TTTTGGCTCTTAAGCCCAAAACAATATTTTTCCACAATCAAGTCCTTAACTGAATGCTAAAATATCACAAAATTTCGGGGTATTACATCCACCCCTCCTAAAAAGGAGTTTTGTCCCCAAAACTCAAATTGGGGATCATTTCAAGTGGTGAATGGCTTCACACAATCTGAGACAAAACAAATGCCTCACTCACTTTCTATGAACAGACATGGCCTATTACGCTTCCGCTGCGCCACTCTGATATCAAATCACGACTAATCTTAAAAGCAGAACACTAATTACTTAACAGGGTTTGCCATCAAATAAGCTACTAGAGGCTGGGGTAATACGGAAAGCACAAGGAATAGAAATAAATCCTGCCAAGGCCACAAAAGAAACAGTTGTGGGGTTACGCTTTGAACCCAACACAAGACGAGTTGACAAAGAATGGCATGGATTTAAAGACAAGTACAACAAAACTTGAACTCTTATCAAAGACGGATAAGCATCCAATGGATATATGGATCATGAATGAATGAACGAGTGCATGGATGCCTTATACATTCTGTCACAAAGCAAGGTTAGCCAATAAGGTCATGTTTAACAAAGCAATTGGAATCAAGAGACAGATTTTAGCAATTAACAAGAGTTAAAAGCTAGGACCATCAAAAGACATGTAAGAATCTCAAGAATTGCAACAGAATAAAATCAATGGAAAATATGAATGCTTGGAAGAATACTGGAACATAAGAGTACAAGGTAGAATGCCTCAAAAATTAGCAACAAAACGGCATTCACCAAGAATCAAGGTCACTCTAACCAAGCAGTCAAATTTGATAAACAAGAGTTAACCATGAAACAAACAATAGAATTCCAAAAATTAGGCCCACAAAAGAGATTTCAATAATGACAATCAAAACACGGATTCAAGAATAGATATAACAGGATGTCAAGATCTAGCACCTTAAGTACTAGAATTAATTAACAGAACAAAGCAATGGCTGGGATCAAGATGCTTAGAAGATTCATGTCTTCTAATCAAAAGGGCAAACAAAAATCCAAGCAGCCAGATAAAAGAATCATTTCACTTGGAACAAAACTCTAGGGCATCAGGTACTTCAAAGACTACCCCTTTACCTCGTAGCTCATTGAGGCTAAGCAAGTTTACAATCAAGTCATCCTAGACATCTTAGAGTCAAGTCAAAGCTAAGGCATCAAGAATACAGAGATTAACACTTGCAAGAGACAGGAATTAGGATGCCTCATATAGGTATCTTCTGATGATCGTCACCCCTCCTAAAGAGGTGTCCATATGAACAAAATCAAAAATCAAGAAGATCATCAAGTATACTGACACAAGAACGAACATAATATGCAGGATTTCAACAAGAGCAGTATACAGAATTTGAACAAGAGCAAGAGTCAGAACAAGAACGTTTTCAAGGACAACTCAAACTAGATTTCAAGAATAGTGCAAGAATCAATTTCAGACAAAAATCAAGATAATGAGGATTTCGATAATCATTATCCATTTCCGGATTTCAATTTCAAGAACAAGTATAAAGCAATATCAAGAAAGATTCAAGATGGATTTCAAGAGTTTCAAGCAATTTCCAGATATCAAGAATGTAGAGATTGGCAACAATAAAGAATTTAACTTTATGATAGCTTGCAAATCTTCATAAAAAGACAACAATTTCAATTGAATAATCACTGCTCTTGATTAACCAATACAGAAAAATGAGCCACATGAAAAGACCACGAAGCTCCAAATGGAAAAAGTGAAATTTCACTGTAAGACTTTCAGAAAGATAAGGAGCAACGAAATTACCAAGTTAATCCAGCTCCTAACACGCATCTAGAAAAACACACAACATTGGCTAAAATAGCCTTGAATCTTTTGCAAAGTAGAGGGTTGCCCATCTTTCACTGGTCATGACAAACAGAGCAAATTCCTCAACCAGATATGCTGTAGAGACTAACAGGATTAATAGCAAAAGATCTTTGCAACTCCCCAGATTTCACAATGGTGGCAAAAGAGCACACAAAAATTCTATTCACGTAACAAGCCTAAACAAGTGCGGACTATCAGAAAATGACCAAGTTCAAAACAAGGTCTTAAGAACATAACGGGCAAGATCACTTTCACAACTTCACACAGAGTATGAAGGCAGGAAACAAGAACAATCAGATCACCATCTCATCGAAATGGATGAGAAAATTCAGGCAACATGAATCAGAATCGTCCCTTACATCACCCCATCACTCGTCTCACCACGGGTCTAAAATCAATTAGCTAGCCAAGTCCAAAACAAATCCTAGGTATTCAATTAAACCTAGGCTCAATATCACTCAATCTGCTCTAATGCCACTCAATCTGGAGGTGCTTAATTCAAACCTAAGCTCTTATTTTCAACCTAAGCTCTGATACCACTAAATCTGTCACGCCCCAAAACCCGATTTCGAGACGCGACAGACGCCGTACACTCGTGAGACAGGTCCCACAAGTGCACAAGGCTCGGAACTTATCATATCACACTCTGATACCACCAAAATCTGAAGATCAAATTATAAGATTTCTCCGATCATAAATCTCCAATAAAATCTCCAAATACACTCTGGTTTACAAGATCATGATTTACTTCTAAAATCTATATCAATC